CCTCTTTCCACACATGTAGTCAATCCTGTGTACTCCATCTGGTGAAGTCTACATGTATAGCTACCGTTTATGTTGTTGAAAAAGGTATTTGTAATGAATAAATTGTTGATCTTGCAAAATTCTATCATGTAATCGTCAGCATCATTTCTATCACCAAGGCCATATTTTCCAACTACTGGAGATTCTTCTTTATTTCCAACTTTTGCATTCCAATCATCAATGATAATCAATATATCTTGACTGCATGTCTGGTCAATTTTAGACTGCAGAAGTTGGTAAAAATCTTCAATGTCCTTGTCTTTGGCTTTGGTGGTTGGTGTGTAAATTTGAATAATAGTAGTATTAACTGGTCTTCCTTGCAGGCATATGGGTATTATCCTATCACTAACAGCAATGTACTTCTGGACAGATCTTGAAACATTCTTTGTGATGATGAATGCCACACCATTCCTCTTCAACTTGTCATTCTTGGCACGGTAGATCATATTCAAAATGTAGATCTGATTCAAAGTGGCCAAAATTAGTCCATTTTAACTCACTAATGCCTAGGATATCAATCTTTATGCGTTTCATTTCATTTTTGACAATTTCCAATTTTCCTAGATTCATACTTTGTACATTCCATGTTCCAATTATTAACAGATGTTTGCGGTTTCTTCCCATTTTGAGTCGTGTCACATCAACAAATGGAGGTCCCAAAAGCTTTACTCCATCCAAATCATTAAGGTCAACTCTACTCTGAGGAGGCAGCTCTTCCCCAGTCATATTTTGAGTATCTTCTGACCTGAGGGGCTCATCTTCTAGCACCAGATAGGACACATTTCAGGGCTATTCATAAGGTTTTCCAGTAATATATCAGACAATATTTCACTGCTATTCATAAGGTAGAACTACCATATGACCCAGCAATTCTACTCCTATAATGTACCCAAAAGACGTGAAAGCCAAGACTCAAACAGAGTTCAATACACCACTGCAGTATTGTTCTCAATAGCCAAAAGGTAGAAACAACTTAAATGCTCATCAACAGTTGCATGGATAAAGAATAGGTGGTACATGCATACAATAGCTAGTAGGAGAAATGAAGTTCATGATACATGCTACAATATGGATGAAGCTAGAAGACATTATGCTGAGTGAAATAAGTCAATCACAAAAGGACAAATGATATATGACCTCACTTATACAGAAAGACAAGAAAAGACAAATGTATAGGGAACAAAGGTTATTAATGGTTACCAGTGGTGGGAGGGAGGGGTTAACAATGACGGAAATATCACATTGATTAAAGGATAGGGTTGCACAGCCAATTACGGTAATTGTTGTCAGTAAGTTGTGCACCTGTAAATCACTGAAATGGCAAAAGTCATATGCTAAAGTCATATTTACTAAACAAAAATTGCTGTTGAGGCTGCTTATATACAACCAAATACCTCATCGGATTTGGTTTCTTGGGACATCCCAGTTAACTGGCCTACTAAGATGTTTAATGCTTCTGTTCTACCTCCTAGTTTGTTGTGTAGAGCCTAAGGTCTTAAAAGCTTGCAAGCAGCCATCCAAGGCACAAAAATTGGTCTCCATTCACCTGGAGCAAAAGAGAAAGAAGGGTCAGGAAAAGGAGGAAGATATGAAATCTGTGGCTAATTTCCTTCATAAACAACTCCTTTGCTCTGAGACCAGAAGAACCATATGATGCCTGGCTACCACTACTGAATATTTTGCTCCATGATTCCATAGGAGAATCCTGGTCAAAAGGGGAAAAATGCAGAACAGAATTCTCATGGACTCCAGACTTCCTGAAGCCATGAAGGTTGGATGAACACCCGAAACAACTGTCCTGAGATAATCTTTAAACCTTAAAGCAAAAACTCCCCTGAATTCTTCTTAAAAACCAAACAATAGCTTAGCTTAACTAGTAAAAAAAGGTTTGCCTGAGCATTAAGCTCTTTTAAGAACTATCTACAGGGGATGAAATTGACAACAGCAATTAGAAAGATTAGATAGATACATCTAAGACATAGAAATCTAAGATACAACCTTATGGGACAGTGAATTTACGTTAATGGAGAAGGAAAACTCAGAAAAGGATGAGAATGGCTGTATAACTTGAAGATTATAATCAATGTAACTAAATTGTACATGTAGAAACTGTTAAACTAATGTTTTGCTGTGTATATTCTCAACAACAAAATAAATAAAATTTTAAAAAGTAAAAGCCACCTTAAAATAAATTATATCAGCATATTCAAACTTGAGAATGCAGAGGACCTGAGAATTCATGCACACACACATTTGAAAAACATTGCCTTAAAAATTAAAGGCATTACAAGGAGAAAGGAAGATACAATGCTTAGGGGGCAATGAGCTTCTGCAAGGATGATGGAAAAACTCAGGGATGGTGATGACTGAACAATATGATGAACATATTTAATGTCACTGAACTGTACATATGAATATTACTGGCAAATGTATTGCTACCCATATATTTACCACAAATTAAACAGAACATTTTTTTAATTAAATTCATTACGTATTAAATTCAGGTTATCATTTAGGAGCAATGCAAAAGTGAATGCAGCAAAGCAGGCACTTTGAAATGCCAAGGCAAGACATGAACATACATGCAGAGGTCATCCAGTGATGCAAATAGTGCTTATATTTACTTTCTTTTGATTTTTATCAAAGCAAAAACATAAAACTTAAAAATTCTTATACATAGCCAAGAATATATTCAAGCATAAATTTTAAGAAACCTAACATAGTGGCTAAAGCACTTGACTGCTAACCAGAAGGCTGGCGGTTCAAACCCACCAGCCACTCCTCGGAAGGAAGGTTGGGCAATCCTACTTCCGTAGTGATACTGCCTCGGAAACCCAAGGAGGGGTCGCTATGAGTCGGGGCCGACTCGACGGCACATAACAACAACAACAACAACAACATGAAACAAGTATAAATAAATTTGATATTTGTACCTGTTTACACTTACTTGAGATCTGGAACTTGACACATTCTAGATTTTAATTTTTTTATTACAAGAATGATTACTTTGAAATCACTCTATTTACCATAGGCACACTGACAAAAAGTATTTATATTACCCAAGCTTCACAAATGCTACACTATACTGCAACAGAACTGTTTCCCCATTATAGGCATATAGGTCAATTTTTTATTTAAGTTATTTAAGTAGGGAATAATCTGAATTTATAACATTTTAAATCAGCATATATAAAGACTTAATTTAAAAAATAAACATTCCCTAAAATATCCCAGTTGGAGCAATGTTTATGCGGCTCTAACAAATAAAAACAGAGACAAAAGGATGACTTAATACTGCACATTCTCTGTTATTAGACCCCTCACAAGATTTTCAACCATCTCTTGAGGGAAAAAGTTGTTTCTGGAACTATAGGTACCAGATATATATCCTCCAAATCACACTTCTTAAGAATTCAGCAAGAAATAGAAATGTTTAAATGTTATTTTTTTTTT